GTGAATCTCATTGTTCGCCGCTGGAGAGGAGCTGCCTTTGCCCTCGGTGCCGCCACGCGCACGCACGCACGTGCGTGTGTACAGTCATTTTTGTCAATCCACTGCTGGATGAGTGTCTTTCCCCACCACCGTGTGGATTACGCTGGATTAGTTCAGGTCGGTGAAGACTTGAGAGCCATGGACGTTGGAGCACGGTGCAGTACTGTACAACAATGGATTTTGTCGCACTGCCCCCCGCTGATGACATAGCCCTGCAGTGGCCTATATATCAGTTGTATGCTTGCTAGTTGTTCATCCAAGCACTCTCTACGCTTCCCATGATTAGCACTTTGAGATAATGACGAGATCGTGTGTATTTTGGGTGATACGATCGTGCGATGATGCGCGTGTTGGTAAAATTTTATTAATGTGCCAAACAACAATGTAATTCTGCTGAGATTTAGTTTGCGGCTTTCTTTCATGGCAGTGTCGTCGTTTTTTACGTTTATTTAAATTCCCTGGCTGTTTGCTGACGCAGCCATGCGTGTGTCACGCACAATAAAAAACAAAACGCAACCACCGAAATTAAATCTCTTTGTCACATAGTTGGAAGCTACTAAGCAGAAAAATGTACCAGTTCCACTATTGCTGCATTTCCTAACTCTGCTTTCTCATTGAATTGGCTGATGATGAATGAGAGCATTTTTTTTTTACCTTTAGACTACCTAGCTTCTAGCTCTGACCTTCAGAGTTATTTGCTATTTGATGCCCTTTTCACCGGGTGCTGTTGTGATGGTTGAAGGAGAGGCTCCTTATAAGGAGATCTCTGGCTGCCCAGGAGCGATCGTGGCCTGGCGGTGAAGCTGAAATTCTTCCTGTCACTCATGATAATTCCATATTTGCTTTTGAAGACACCCAAAACATGAGGGCTCGAACATGAAAATTCAAACATAATTTTTATCTCAATTCAGGTGGTTATGAATGTATGTATGCGTTTGTAAAGTAAGATTAAAAAAACATTTCTCCAGATTTGCAGTTAATTTGTCTTTCTTTAATTTACTAAAATTAACCACACCTTACTATTTTAATTTGGATTAAACATATATATTTATAACTATTTAGCAACATTTATTTAATTGTGTACATTGCATTATCAAAATAAATAAATCCGAATGTAATGTCTATTTTGGTGCTATGTGTTGTCTTTGTAACAAGGTTTCAATTTCCATGGCAGTGGCCTGTGTACAGTAGCTTGTATTGCTGCTCAGGTATTTAATGAGCAAACCCATGTGACTGGGAGCTGTTTTCAATTAATAAAGATGGCATTTGCGTTAAGCATTTAGAGAGCAGTTTCCATGGAACACACTAAATAATACATTCAATTAATGAGCAGTTGTTCTTTCCAAAAGCACCCACAGTGTGCCCCAGAGGTGACCATGTGCTTACAGAAGCAATATATATTTGAGCATTTAAAAAAAATCCTTACTCTGATGTGAGGAAAATAGTGCAATTCAGGTGAATATAGTCGTTTTAAGTAAAAAAACAACAACATTTGACTGGATCAGTGTCACTTTTAACTGTTTATTAATCAAACCTAATGGCACTTGTTTAAACATTTATATTTGCATCGGATTAAAACACGTGGAAAGGTGTGCCATCGAATATAACGGAATCAGATATTTTGATTACATTTATTATTTCTGTCAAACAATTTGCTGAACATGGTCTTTTGATAAAGCATTAAAAATCATTTCATGGGGCAGCCAAGGACAATGCCTGCATTATTAGGGTGTCTGCATACAATATTCTTAGCTTTCCGAGAGAGCACCCTGCACAAAGAGTTACGTTCTACCCTTATTTTTACCTTAATCTCTTTTTAGAATAATTTGTTTTGGTGGGTGAGCTGTGGACTTGACATCCCTGAGATGTCTGAAAATCCTTGGATTCCCACTTCCCCAGCCTGCTGAGATACAACCAAGTAAACACGTGTATCCCTGTTAAATATTTCATGCCGGACTGCTATATTTCTGCAGGCTCCCTTTGACCCCAGTGGTGAGATGAAAGTCATAATCGAATCGGAGGCTAATGACGCACAGGTGGCCTCTGCCGCCCCAAAAAATATAAAAAGCGCATTTGTGTCGGTTGGGGGGATGGAGAGTCAAGCGCGTTGGAGCGCAGCAACCTCTTGCTGTCCCGCAGACCTTGTTTTAAAATGGAGAGATCGTGGCTTAGGCGTGCCATGGCTGCCTGTCCTGTCTGGCCAGAGGTTTTTCTCAGAATCCGTGCTTGCTTCAAAGAATGCAGAAATATTAATGTGTTTGTCAGTGTGCTTGCAAGTGGCATGTTATGGACTGGCATGGCTGCAGGGTTGTTCTTGGAAGTTAGCATGCATAGTTCGTATTCTGAGTTACTAACTTAATCCATGAGTCATGAGTCCTTTACAAAATATGATTTTTTATAACATATGGACCAATCGTGATTTCCTGTTAAGCAATGCCTTTGAAGTTATTGTTCCAAGTTTAAATGTGTTATTTGTTAGTGCCTCAACCATCAAAATAAACATCTGTGTTGGAATTGTGACCAGACTTATTATAAATATGGACTCAACTTTTCACCTTTTGCTAAAAACGGATCGGTCCCAAGTTCAACATTATACATGTTGCCCTTCCTAGTCTGGGTATTTAATACGGTGCATTCCATTTCAGGTTGGGGTGCTGCAGGACTTGACTCAGAAGTCATGGCCAGTTTGGCACCCTTCGGAAACTGCAATACAGTGCCCTGTGTAATCATCACCTATGCCACAGTGGCTTTGGTTAATAAGTTTACACGTTATCGCAATGCGGTAACAATTTCCTGTAAGGCTACCAAACTTGGGCATGACCAAAAGCAGTGGCTTTATGGCTTCAAATGATAATCGGTAGACGTTATCAGAAGTACAACACCTTAAACTACCAAACTTGGGTAAAAACTTAGCAATCACTATGTGGCACATGTTAATGTTTGCTCTTTTACGTTACAATGTGACTTTGTTCTGTGGAGTTTGCCAAACTTGGGCAGTACTGAAGTGTCTCAATATTGGGGGTTTTGATTGCCTAAATGCTAATTGGCCGATATAACTGGCACGAGTCCAGTCGTTTGTCCATCTGCATTTATTCCGTTTTGCTCTGCACATCGATCTGCTTGGTTCTCCAGCTGTCGGACACTTTGCCAACAGCTGGGAGTATTCACGAGGAGGGCTCTTCCGTTCTTATCCAGGTATTGCTCTGTGCATTGCGACAACTTTTAATGTACTAGAAAAAAGGGCCAGCACAGAATTTGTTGAGCTTTGAAAATATTCCAGAAGTGTTTTATTTTTTTATAACAGCTGACTAAGAAAACTATAAGAGCCCATGAGTTTTGAATTTGTCATCGTGAGATGTATTCTATTCTAAATTAAATTACACAAAAGCTCTGTTGGTTATTTACTGAAATTGCAGGCTGTGTGGCACGTGTTGCGAGTGTGGGTCGAAAGTGGACTTAAGCCCCTTTGTTGAAGCGATTTTAAAGGATGCAGTTTTATAACTGAGTGCTTTAAGATTGTTAAAAGGAGGGTTTTGTTTGGGTATTTATTGGTTTCACTTGATTTGTTAAACTGATCGTAAAGTAAACATTCATTCTGAGTACCGTGTGCGTGCATATTATGACGCAGAAAAAAATCTGTCTAGACAAAACTACGTTGAGTAAAGCAGGTTGGTACGTGCGTGAGCGCCAAATGTAAATGAGGTAAGCTCGGACACGTGTCGACATGTGCGGTGGTTCAAGGTGTCTTTGCGGACGGGACGTCGAAATGGCAGCAACGCGTTGCTAGGTTTACCGCGTGAACTTGCCTTGAGCCGATTTACCCAGGTACAGGCACACGCTGTAAATTAAACAATCTCTCGCCCATCGTTGGGCTCGTAAATGTTCACGTGATATTTTTGGTTGCCACCGAACTCCCAAGGCTGGGGGGGGCCGAGCAACGGAGGCCGAATTAAATAAAAACAGCTCATAGTTATAATTATCAGACACGCGGGCGGTGGTGATTGACGCGAGGGTGCTGGCTCTTTGAGGGCTCTCGCCGAGGTGTGATGTGGATGTTTAGGCGCAAACGATACTATCTGCCAGGCTGCGTATACGTTGATTTCAGGCGCTTTGACTTTCCAGTCGGTTCAGAGCTTTCTATCTCTTCCAACTATGTTTATGCGTTTAATCGTGGCTTCAAAGATGTTTCCGAACATCATAGTTTTATTCAAGTTCTGTGTTGGGGAAAAAAAAGCCATTCGTATCATTAGTCATGATATTTACATTTACTCAGCCTTGTCTACAATTGTAAAAAAACAATTGTTTTCTTATTTTGCATTCGTATCCGTCCGTGGGCTTCTGCGCATGATCCTGTGTGCATCCATGTTGGACATGCTGAATGCGTACAGACATGCGTTTCCCCCGCTGCTCTGGTGACTATAGCTTCCCCATGTGTCCCTTAAGCATTGTTGGTTATTAAGTCTGTATCCGTCCTCAGGGATGGACTAAAACAACTGAGAAAGATCCCCCGTGAGCCTACAGAGGCTGTTGGGGCAAGTGGTGTTTGCGAACACCTAATGAAGGCTGCACGGCGTATGAGGCGGTGATGTGCTCAGCATGACGATCGGTCCCTTTTTGTTTCCTCAGTGCTGATATTTACACACTGCACCAGGTACTCATTTAAGGTTGAGTTCATCTAGGGCAAGCGCAGGACCTATTCAGATATTCACAATTCAGCGTTGGCCATGAGCGGGAATCGTACTTGGGTCGGCGGGTTCGTAGCATCGTGCATTATGTATGTATGTATGTTGAACTTGTTTTGCACTGTACGTAGCCAACCACGCTGATCGGAGGTGCGTTAAACGCAACGCTGCCACTCCCCACGTTCATCTTCAGGGACGCGCACACGCACGCACCTCGCCTCTCCACTCGCAGCCACGTCCTCGCGGCGGCACCTAACCGGACGCTCGCTCCTTTCGCAGGACCGATGATCGGGGACCCAAGGAGCCAGCCCTGGGCGAGGTGATGGTTCCACCGCTCCCGTCGACATAGCGACGCCGCAGCTGGGAAGCGGGGGTGCGGGGAGGCAGCGCTCGCGCGTCCCGGCCGCACGATGGGGGACGTCGCCGGCGAGAAGAACAGCGGAGCGTGCCTGCTCTTCGACCGCTTCGTGCAGGCGGGCACCTGCAAGGGCACGCTGCGTGCCTACCAGGACCTGTGCGAGCTCGTGGACCTCAAGCCCAGTGACTTCAGGACCTTCTACCCCAAGCTCAAGTCAAAGCTCAATTACTGGAAGGCCAAGGGCCTGTGGAGCAAGATCGACAAGCGGGCCGCGCACAAGGACTACAAGAAGGGCAAGCAGTGCAGCAATGTGAAGGTACGCAGAGGGGGCCCCATGCAGATGATGCCCACGTTTGGTGATCGATCGACATTCGCACCGTGCTCCGCGCGGCTTTCACCTTCTGTGTATTTTTTTTGGAACATTTATTTTGTGCGTCCGGTAACCGTGTTTACATTTCTGTGTAGAGCTTGGTGCCCACATTTTTTGGTTGGTTAAATAGATTTTACACGCCCACTGTGGCGGTTCTCGACATTGTAAATTGCGGTTTAGAGTGATTGTATTACTTGCATAGTGGATACATTAATCAAAGGCGAGAAGTCTACAAAACGCACGGCAAACGTGAGTTCCACTGCCCACTCTATCAATGCGGAGTTGATCTAGGGGATAAACCTTAGGCCCTGAGAGAAAATGTGGGGAGAAAACTGCCTCACGTGTGACAACCTCACCCTATTGTGTCCAGCTTGTTAGTGTTACCTTGGAGAATGTGCCTGCAACACCGGTGCATGGCAGCCGATCTGTAACTTAAGACTCTTTTTTTTTAAAGGACGGCAGTTATTATTAAAGCCACTCTTTGGTCAATGCAGGTTAAACCCCCACCGGGTGTAGGCTACAGTACAATGTCAATGAATGTGAGCTTTTTTTATTTCATTCCAAATTTCACTTCTCATTTAATAAAAAAAACATTAACCTTTTGTCATTTTGTTTCTCCAACCATGTTATTACATTTGTGCTGTTGGCACAAGACAGTATCTATTCGGAGCTGAACATCACGTTGTGTGTTAGAGATAGTCCATGGAAAGTGATATTGTAGAGCTACTTCGGAGATCCTTCAAGTGACCTCATATCGACACTAGGGCCACAGCACCCTTCCCAGTACCCTGCTGTACTGATTGGACTCTTCAGCTACCAAAGGTCGCACAAGTGCAACAAACACGACTTCTCCGAGCAGTCATCGTGGAATACAATGCGACAGTCAACATAAAAAAATGTACAGATGATGCTTCGCAAGTCAAGCCGAAGTTATTACATGTCAGTTTAGTTTTATTGTTTATTTTGATGCGGTGACCAAGCTATGACCAATGACTTGCTTGAGTTGAGAAGACGGTTTAAGCAGGGGTGGCTGAAACCCAGGTTAGAACCTGCATTATTACATTTTCTTGTTGATTTTATTTATTTTGTTATCCAGAGGATGACTAGTTTAAAAATGTGGAACCGATTATATATATTTTCTACATGCTGTGCAAATTAGCAGCATAACTGTGTTGGCACGCAGCCCGAGGTGATATGAAGGTTTGCTTGCATGACGTACAGCGCTCTGAGACATGAAAGCATCATTTTGGCTTCAATCCTCTTCTATCATGTGACCACAGATACGTGTGAAGCAAAGCCTCACGCAGTGATGTATAAGCATTGCTTTGCAAACTGCACAAATTTAAAACCTCCTACGACAACTAACTGCGATTAATTGATGGTGACAATAACCTTAAATTGTCCTACAGTCGTGTACAGGATCCTGTGAATAATACTTCCAAGTTGTGCTTAATAAGAGGAAGATTTAGTGGTGTGCTATTATTTATACACCCGCATTTGCTTGCATGATTAGCTATGTTAATGGATATTTTCAATATTATACAACAATTACTTGATGTGTCAACCTAAGTCTTTCTTTAACCATTACCTGTAGGCTAGAGTCTGAGATGCAGATGTTCTTTTATAACCATACAAATTGGCTCATATCTCCCATCAGACATGAAGTTAATGGAGATAATAAAAAGTGGCACTACTCAATGATTCTTACCCATTTTAAACATTCTCAGAATATTCTTCCTCCTGGACAATTTCCCACCGATGAAAATTATTGGCAAGAGAAGGGACGAGTTCACTTAATTGGTGCAGTTTTTTGTTTTCTTTTTGTTTCTCTAACGTCCCAGCCAAATTTGGTTAATGTAGCCTAAGTTTATGACATACAACGTACTTTGAAGTAGACTACATCATCTATCTATTTGCAGCACCTGGCATTGATAAAAATAGTGAGCAGTGGACGGCACCGAAGAGCTGAGCGGAACTCGCCCACATGGCTCGCTTCAAAGTCTATTTATTTATATCCTCAGTGTTTTAAACCTCCTCCCCCTGTATCTAATTAAGGGGATTGGAAATGCTGAGAGATTCATCGGCGCAGCCAACAGGGACACGCGTAGTCAGCAGCTTAAAGCGTTACTTGGAAGACCCGAGGTGTTAATGGGAATTTTTCCCTTCAGCACCTCTGTCCTATTTCCCAGCTTGTAACCGTGAATATCAAAGGTCCAGTGGTGACAGATGTTGGCAGAAGTGACACGGCTAAATTAGTGACGGCTATTCTCAGCGTTGCCGAAAAGAGAAAAGGTAGTTTGACCTGACTTGCCCGGTCAACCCAGGAAGAGGTTCCTTCCCTGGGGCATTGCTGAATGGAGCCAGGCACTCTGGCCAGAATTATTTCCATAAAATAAATGTTAATGGGAAAATAACCCAGTATGATGTGAACGGGTGGAGAAACTCTATTCTGTTTCATGAAGAAGCATTCTGTAATTTAAACGACTAATGTTATGGCCATTAGAGTTACAATTACTGGAGCAAATCGATGCCAAAAATACATGTGTAATGTCATTTACAATAATAGGAAAATATGTGACAGTGTACAGTGTACAGTGAGGAAAAAAAGTATTTGATCCCCTCCTGATTTTGTACGTTTGCCCACTGACAAAGAAATGATCAGTCTATAATTTTAATGGTAGGTTTATTTGAACAGTGAGAGACAGAATAACAACAACAAAAATCCAGAAAAACGCATGTCAAAAATGTTATAAATTGATTTGCATTTTAATGAGGGAAATAAGTATTTGACCCCCTCTCAATCAGAGATTTCTGGCTCCCAGGTGTCTTTTATACAGGTAACGAGCTGAGATTAGGAGCACTCCCTTTAAGAGAGTGCTCCTAATCTCAGCTCGTTACCTGTATAAAAGACACCTGTCCACAGAAGCAATCAATCAATCAAATTTTGCCAACACCAAACCATAATAATGAATACCGATTCGCGAATGTCACTTGATAAAGGGGGACAGTTCTCAATTTACAATGCGGCCGCTGCAATTCTGCACCGCTGCGGCTTGCGCGTCTGCTGCTCCTGCACGGGCCTTGGCAGTGTTCCAAACGTGGCCGGCTCCCCCCCCCCCCCTGCTGATGGGAGCTGTCACCCCAATTATTTATAGAAATGCCGTGGAATCTGTAATGACCACTGCGATTGGGATGGGCTGCTCGGATTACGTGAAGTTGGATAATCGCCCGTAAACACAGCAGCCATTAGTCCAGACGCTCATGGGACCCCCCCCCCTTACATCCACTTAGTTGACACGAGGAGCGTTTCAAAACACTCTTCACGACGACGCGATATCGCTGTAATTGTCGCGTTCTTTGGACATTCACGTGGCAGTAACTCTTTCCCTGACTCGGCATGGGAGCGCGGTGCTGTAATTTGTGTTTGGCCGAAATGACACACAAGGGAGGGGGGTAGAGGGGCAATGTGCGTGAGAGTGTGGCCGCTGCAGAGACGGAGCGATTGAAATCGCGTACCGGTGTTCGGTGGATTATTACTGTACAGGACGGCGAGGCATACAGAGGGCATAATCAGATTGATCATAGCTGATGAAATGCCGCTTGGCAAGGCTAATGTTTAATAGTCATTCTTCTGGAATGTCATGGGCGCGTGTGTGTGTGTGCTAAGTTTCAAGTTTGGTTTTCACGAACTGACACGTGATTTCAATGTCGGAGCTGAATGATCGACACAGGTGTTTGCTGCAGCAAAAGGGCGGACAGTTTAGCAACCAGAGGTGTGCGTTTGCTGCTGTGTGTGTGGGTACAAAAATTGAGCTGGTGAAGTTGGAGGGTGTATGTATGTTGAATTATGACCATCAGCATCATCATCGGCCAGGATCAATCCACTGCTGGATGAATGCCTTGCCAAGTTTTCCGGCTTCTCTTGCTTTTCTGTAATGTAACAATCATCTTAGCAACGTTGCACAAGAGCAGCTGGATGTCCTATCGGATGCGTTCTTACATGTTGAAGATTGGCTTTAGGTGCGCTGAGCTTCACCACTCTACTGCAGATATTGGCATTTCCTTTAAAGAGCTGAACGCTTAATTGGTAAAGCACATCTCACGTGAGCCTGACTCGAGTTGTTAAGCAGGAGGCTAATTTACAATGTAGCCTCAGGGGGATACATTGACTGTTTATGTAAAACATACATGTAGATTGCAAGGTGCATGTGGCAAATGTAAACTTCATTGCAGATGTGACATTTGATTCACAGTAATGTCAAGTCACGTAATCCTCCCACTGCATTTTTGGAAATGCAACAGTTTTAATTCGACCAAAAAATGGGAGCATATACTCGCTTGTAATACCGTAAATTTGATCGTGAACCATAAGTCACTCAAATGTTTTCATTTTCAGAGGTTCCTTTCAGAAAATCTGTAAATAATATTATTTGATGGGTCTTTTAGTTTGCTGTTTATTAAGTTACGAAACCCAATAACGTTTTAACAAATAATACGTTGATACGCCGCAAAACACTGCCACAAGACCCATGTTATAGGTGAACATTTAACAGATTTAGGATTAATCTTGTGTTTTCTGGAGACAACTTCCTGTCACTTCATTTAACTGCGGATCAGAGGAGGAACCTGCTGTGCCTGTCCTTTAATATGTGTCCTTGCATGCCCGCAATAGGTTGACTTTTTAGCACCTGCTCTTACCCCTTCTGAGTGCGGAGGCGTTTATGTTCAGATTAACATGGATAAGAGGATGAATTTGCCAGACAACTCCTCTTATCGGCGGCAGAGAAAAAAAAACCCACTGGATAAATTGTTTTCATGGCTTGGATTGTGGCCACAAATTACAGGAATATCAGATCAAAGATGAGATTCCATTTAAGGTAATCACTTTACAAACATAATATAATTCTTGAGTGTTGCTCGTGAGCAAGGATGGTGTCTGTACCCAG